TGACAAGATTTTGACAAGATCTTGGCAAGATCATGGTGGAATCTTGGCAAGGTTGTCCAAGATCATGGCAAGATTATGATAGAATCTTGGCAAGATTGTGATAAGATCTTAGCAAGAATCATGGTGGGATCATGGCAAGATCATGGTGGGATCTTGACAAGATCTTCCAAGATCATGGCAAGATTACAATAGGATCTTGGCAATATTTTGATATGATCTTGGTAAGATCATGGTGGAATCTTGCCAAGATTGTGCAAGATCATCGCAAGATTATGATAGAATCTTGGCAAGATTGTGATAAGATCTTGGCAAGGACCATGGTGGGATCTTGGCAAGATCATGGTGGGATCTTGACAAGATCTTCCAAGATCATGGCAAGATCATGATAGAGTATTGGCAATGTTGTGATATATGTGATTGGTTTGACCAAGGTTCATTATACCTATACTTATGAAGGTCGAAAAATACAACTCAGCAAGAATTATGTATGACGAAAAATCATGAACGATCTTGGCAAGATCTTGACAAGAATTTCAGACAATCTTGGCAAGATTTTGGCAAGTATGGCAAGACTGAATAATCTTGGCAAGATATGGGTAATATCTTGGCAAGATATTGCCAAGATTAGTGTCTTGCCAAGACCTTGCCATGATCTTCCAAGATCATGCAAGATCTTCCAAGATCTTGCCAAGATCTTCAACCTGGGCATGTTTTGTACTTTCCCGACAAAAATCTATGAAAACAGTAAATTTAGTGCGCCACAATCCCTAGCAGTATCCCTAGCAGTATTCCTAGCAGTATTCCTAGCAATATCCCTATCCCAGTGGTTCTGCATCATCAGTTCACAATTTTATTTTAAGTCCACAACAGGTGGGTTTCACTTAAAATTATCCCTTTCAAAAGCATTGTAATACTTTATGAAATACAAAATTTGTATATTTATTTTATGTGGCCTAAATAACAACGCTGTTTCCAAGCAGCATATCTGTTTAGTGTCAAGATTTTGTGTTATAAATATTACATGTAAATCGACTATGAAATATTCTAGCAGTATTAAGTATATAAACTATATTTTTATCAACATACCATGCGAGGTGAACAAAATCCGCATTAAAATCACTTCAAATATTGTACAACTGAACAAGTCACACGACAAGAGAAACAATATTATTTGCTTGATTGTATTTAAAAATAAACAATCCATATTTTCACGACATTTTTATAGAGAAATACCAGAATTAGTGCAGAAAATTTCCAATTCGTTTATTATAAATTCGTCCGTTTGTTTATATTCGCATAAATTATATATTATTTAATTACTATTTTCCATATTTCACGCACGGGCAATAGGACAGGTGTAGTGTTGTTAAATAGAAAGTTAGAAATGGTATTGTACTTACTCATGTATTATAATTATGTTTAAAAGATGAGAATATTCATAACTTCTTATTTTGTTTCATAAATAGTTCTTTAATATTCGAAACAAATTCCATATCTGCTTCGTCTGCCATCGCCATGTTTACTCGTCCCAATCTACATGCTGCACGGCATTGCTGCCCCTCCTGGCAAAATAATAAGCAAGCGAGAAAAATTAAGGAGAAAATAAGAGGGTAGGAACATCGTTGTCATAAGCTGGATGCAGTGACACTTCCATATATGGCACAAACGTATCCATAACTTCCATATATGGCACAAACGTATCCACGACGCGTTTTATAACGTTTTATTTGACGTAGGGATGCCGTGTAATGCTGCTTCCCGCCTATGACGATTTGAATTAG